CAATGTGTGGGTCATGATTGACATTTTGTAATGTGATTTGACAATTCTTTCACTGACAATACTTATTAAAGATAATTTTAAGCGTAAAAACTGTCCATATTTTGATGTCATGATATGTAAATTAAAAATTGTTATTTTACGGTGATAATCTTGTTTTCTTGTGCCCAATAATGCATAATTTCATTTGATAAACACGTTTAGATTGAATGGTAATTTATAATCAGTCACAAGAACGTCGAATCTGAATCACTTGAAAAAAACACGGGGGTGCTTAACTTTTTTCCAGGTGTATATTTAAGAGGGGCACTACTATATAAAATGGTGCTTAGTTGCTTGCTATAACTTCTTTTTTTCATTACACAGCTATGTGAAATCAAGTTTTGACAAGGTCTAAAAAAGGGTTCTCAACGTTTCCAATACGATGAAAAGTAGCATTTTTCTTCTTGATGTTCAGTGCATAACTGACAATTTATATTTTTTGTTTTCACGATTTAACACAGGTCAAACATTTAGCGATTCTCGAATTAATACCTGCAGTCAATGTCTGAGTACCTGCAAGTACGTAAATAACGAGGTTATTTACCGCAGAAACAACTGGTATATATATATATATATATACCACTAGATGGTAAGGATCAGAAATCATACCGATGATAGCTCAACATAAATAACTCGTAAGGATAAGGCTTAAGATACTCTTCTCGAAGTGCAAACACACACTCATTGTTGGAGTTACAATACGTTATAAGCATACATAAATACAATAATCGACATAACACTTAAAATATTCTTCCCAAACTGCAAGGAGACAGACAACCCTCTGTTGAAGTTACAATAAACTCGTGAAAAATACGTCACATACATAAACTGATGGATGGATAGTGTTTGGGTGTACATGCATACTTGTGTATATGTGTAGCTATATACGTGAAAACACCATTTTCCTGTATGATTAAAATGTAATCCTACTGATATCCGCGGATGGTTGTAATATCCCCAAAGATATCGTAATAAGTAATGAATTCGGTTCTAACTTTGACGGTCCACATATTAGCCCAAAAACATAAGCTAAAGATCTTTTGTTAAGTATATCTGAAAGTTTTACTATGTTTGGTGTTAATTACACTTAACCTTGTTTACGCTTTTTATTGCTTTATTTCGAGAAAACCGAATGCCCGTGATTACTATATTTATTCCCATAGGCCTACGTGTGCTATTTGTAACGACTATGTTGCCTGTCCTGCAGTATCAATCTATCTTGCAGTCTTCCCTTTACATCTTTAATGAAGGCCTTGCCTAATGCTATATTCACTGTTGTGCACAAATTAGGAATACATCATTCCTAGTGAGGTTAATTCGAAGTTTATTTTGTAGCAAGATGTAACTCCTGAAAGACGCTCGGCGTTGTTAAGGAACAAAACTGTAAGACTTATAAAAAGCTTTTTTTAGCTTACGTTTTTGGATATTTGGGAAAATTCTATGGAACCAACTCTGATATCAGCCTGGTTAGACTTTCGTATTTGTACTTATTAATAGCAAAACTATTAAGTCTGTCTGTCTGCCGTCGCCGCCCCTAATTTTGAACAACTGAATAGAAGAAAGGCAGCATCCTACCATCCAGCATCCGCACTAATAAATTGATTGCTACTGTTATAAAGCACTCACAGCTTGAAGTGCGGGAAATTTTTTTGGTATCACACGGATTCGAACGAATTTTTGAATTTCGCGCAAAACTACACGAAAGCTATTTGCGCTAGCCGTATCTAACTTAGGTGTGAAAAACTAGAGAGAAGACAGCTAGTCATCACCACCCACCGCCAACTCTTGGGCTACTCTTTAACCAACGAATAGTGGGATTGACCGCAACACAACTTATAACATCCTCACGGCTCAAGGGGTGAGCATGTTTGGTGGGACAAGTCAAGCGCTCTAACCACCTGACCATGCCGAGCCCACCAGCTCCGAAATATAGCTGTACCACATGACCAACCCGCATCCTGGTTAGTTCTTAACCTTATGTTGTTTCTTCATGTTGTTCGGTTAGAATATTGCAACGGTTTTACATAATCATGTCTGATTGGCTAGAAAGATGTAAGTTACAGCCACCACGATTAGCTCATTATACATGCTGTATTTTTGTGAGGTATCCTGCCCTGTCAGTCGATGTGGTTGTAGTGTTATATATATATATATCATAACTGGTTCATATCTATTGTAACGTCTTTTGAGAGAACTGATAATTCCACGTGACTATGATTGGTTAAAAATACTGTGGTAACACACAGACTGTACAGGCGTTTGAGACAGTATTATAGCAAAACGCTGGTAAATAGCTTCAATAATAATTTCACTAATGCCAGCTGCAAGATTACGGGCTTACAATGTTAAAATCTGGGATTCGTTTCCCGCGGTGGACATAGTGCAGATAGTCTATTGTATAACTTTGCACTAAAACAACAACAACAATAAAGAGCATTAATGGATGTTTATATTCCACAACAGACTATACTACTAGACTTTAGGATACAGCGATGTATTGTATATTGTTGGTCACGTAAAACTTGCTCTCCATAAATAATTGCACGACAGCAATAAAGAATCGTTAGTTTAATCTCCTGAAATAGCGTATTAAACAATGTTTCTAAGTAAAAATGATGAAAAATGAACATGTAACTACAAGTTTTCAGGTGCATTACTCTAGCTAGATCTGCAGCCTGTTTACGATGTATGTATTTGCGTCTTGTAGTGTATTTACGAGAGTAACACTGAAACTTATCAACAACTTTTCTCTTTTTGTTCTAATCAGAATTCATCTTGTACATTCCAGAAAGGACCAGAGCGTCATATAATCTAGGAAACTTGTATCTCATAAAGTCATCTCATGCAGAAAAACTGGTATATTTACTTATTTAAGAGGTGCTACAACGGTTGTGTTTTCTTCATTGCCTACCAGGATCTACGTCACAGTAGTTATCTTTACCTATCAAGCGAAAGAAATAATGGATGAAATATAACTGAATTTAAAAAGACAGACAGGATAGAAGAAACATATCGACACATTACTATATACGACCGCATGCGCACAATCGTATAATCAAAACATAACTTAAAACATTTATGCCCAATAGGTCCATGTATGTATGACATAATCACGATACTGTATTAGTCACGGATACATTGATTTCCCTGCAGCATGAAAGGAGGCTTGCCAGAAAATGAATTATAAATCAGTTGCCTTAATTTCCCCGAGTCGGATGCAAAAGTAAGAGACTGAACACACATTTGTACAAAGTAACACTATATTTATTAATAATAAATAAAACAACAATAACCAACACAAAAGTAAACGTGCACCTTTACTGCATACAAACTGATCTATTTCAAACTGTGATCTCTATTCAGACTAATATCTTACCTCAACTTGTTTTAGACTGAGAGAACATGGAGTTATATAGACAAAACAATAATACTAATTCTCTCAAAGTGCAGATGCCACCCACATGATTGAGGATCACTCTCATTTCAGAATAAAGATTGTTATGCCCTTGAAGCATCACCCGGCTTGCCAGGAAAAAAGATCGATCCTTTCTATCTAAAGAGTTGAGTGACCCAGTTCTGTGTGTAACTAGGGTGAAAAAAACGTTATATATCAGAAACTAAACACACTCTGTATGCATGAAGCTTACGTTATACATTATAATTAACGGGACAGAACCCGCATGGTATGCCTGCATACCATAATACAAAACAATGAAGACAGCTATTCAGTAAAAAAAATAGCTATCTATGAAAACATCAGGCAACAAAATATCTATTTAGCCTATCATGTTTCATCTCGGTAGACACAGCAGATAGCCTAATGTGGTTTTTGCTATAAGAAAAAATACACACAACATATCATGCCCATTTTCTTACGAATAAAAGAGCAGAAATGATTATTTCTTTGTGATCTTACTCTTTAGCTTTTTCTTAAATTATCTTTTACAATCATTTTCTTTATATGCACGTCAAAAAATAAATTTGAAACATATTAGTGCTGTGATGTTACATAACAATCCTACTGGACAAGTGTTCGTTTAAAAAAAACGTTTGCAAACGGTTTATCTAGTTTTTTTTATCCTATTAGAAGTTTAAAACTATATGACAGTTCTTGTCAGTTTGTTTACTGTTAAGCGCAAAGCTACACGGTACGCTATTGGTACTGTACCCACCACGTGTACTGAAACCCGGTTTTTGGAGTTATAAGCCTTCTGACTTACTGGTGAGCTAGCTAATGGAAGTCTGTGATATGACAGGATATTAAACCTATAATAATGCGAAAAACAGTTAAGATATTTTCATAATACATTAACTTTCATTTTAAAAAGGAGTTCCATCTTTTTAATCGCTGTGACGTACAAAACATGCAACATAACTTTAGGAGCAGTCAGGCATCATACTCTGTGAGCTATATAATTATGCACACAACAAACCCCCTTAAAAATTATCTCATCTAAGAACTTACAGGGCTTGGCTCAAATATTCTTTATTTGCATTATATTACAAAATTATGAGATCATAATTCAATATCTGGACTTCACCAAGTTACACGAAGCAAAAAAGTACCAAGAAGCAAACCATTCTCGAAGTTTCCAGCTTTGTTAAACAATTTGTGACCTACTACTAATGCTTGGGCTAGATATCACAAACAGAAAAAAAAAAAGTTTTAAAGACAAAGCCTGGAGAAAAATAATGTTTAAGCCTGAACTGTCCATTATGATTTTTTTTTTAAAAGGAAAGATAGATTGATCAGTCAAGTAAGTGCATTTACATCATGAGTCAAAAATTCAAAATCTTAACTCTGGCAAGCGACCGTTTATATCTATATAGTATGCAAAATTCATTATGAACAATATTAGTAAAAATTGTTAATTTAAATAGGTGGAATAGGGATCATCAAAAAAGTACAGAAATATCTTGAATCAAAGTGCAAAGATTATATTTTCAAGCCTATTTCGACTCCACTAAAATTGGATGTACTGTAGACGTGGAGTCAGAATAGGGATTTGTAGCTTGAGAAAATCATGTAGACACTATTTCTACCCTAGTTTGTTTACTTTTTAAGAGTCTCTAGTTTTAGGCTTGAAAATATAATCGTTGCATTTTGATTCGACTCGTTTCTGTAATTTTTTGACGATCCCTATTCCCTCTTTTTAAATTGTCAATTTTTACTAATCTTGTTTCTTAAGTTTTTTATGTCCATTTATGGAGAATAAAGTTTAAGCTACATACGTGTTTAGTTGAATGTTACATTTTTTTTCAACAGTTTACTGCTGCATTGGCTTTTTTTTTCACCCAACCATTATTTGCTGAGCCTGTTTCACATAAACTCGCGTTTAACAAGTGTAAAGTATACAAAGGCAGCCGCTCAGAACAATATGCATCTCTTACGTATTTACAACCACGTAAATCAACTTTCAGTAAAAAATTAACTAACTTTTAAGTAGCTGTGTCCACTGCGGGGAATCGAACCCCGGATTTTAGTGTTGTAAGTCCGTAAACTTGCCGCTGTCCCGCAAGGGTACAAATGCTAGAATTTTGAGCAAATTCTGTGCGATTCCTATTATGAACCGCTATCATAATTCACGATATATATACAGTTAGATAGATATTGCATAGTCCTAGTTAGACTGGTATATTAAATTAGATACATAAATTACGAGGTTAATTTTTAGCTCCAATCTATGCAAGTAGCTTACTTAGATCAGAAATGATTGATAATGATAACCAGCAAATTAATGTCGTTTCTAATTTAAATTTTGCAATAAATCTCGTTCTGTCTATTTATAACGCAAGACAGAATTACCAAGTTATCAAAATTGTATGAAATTATAAAGCAACAGTTTTAATCAAAGTGAAAGAGGACAACGAATTTGTATCTTTGCGTTCATTCGCCATCTTGTGAGTCGAAAAACAAGCTTTAGTTACCATTTCTAACATCTTCTGGGTTAATAATTGTTTGATAAGTGTTCACTAACAAGAAAATAATCACCTTAGATAAAAACAAAAACGGTTCATACGTGTATAGTTAATAGCTGTGATAATAGGTCAGATGACATCTCCAAACGAGGTTTTTATGCAATCTCCCACTGTTGAACTACATTAGTACATAAAGGAAAGCAAACTGAGGATCTCAGCCAACACGGGAACCAGATATCAGCTAACTCCAAAAAACATTTCAAACCTTCGACGTACGGTAAAGTTAGTGAGGATTATTTTAGAACAAGTTAAAAATCCATTTTTAGTATAAATGTGAAATTAGTCACCACAAAAGTTACACTGACGTGAAACTTTAATCGTGATACGTGTGTACGAGCTGATACCCAAGTTATGTAAATAACTAAACAAAGATTTTTATCATAGTAATATAAATATTACATTTTATTATTAAAATAAACCACACAAATCTATTTAACAGAAATATTCTACAATGATATTATAAATCGTTTTTAAGTTAATATACTCAATCATCTAAGGAGATGTATGTAAATTTCAAGCGTTATTATTTTAAATTGAGTGAATTTAATTAATATGAACTACTTCAAGTACCAGAGGGCTCACGAATGAAGAACCAAACAGGACTTACATGAAGTAGCTAAGGTCCTCATTAGATAACAAAGGACCAATAATGTGATAAAGACTCCAGCCAAGAAATTAAAAGATTCATTTTTACCAGCAGTATTTCAATGTAACAAATGATATGAAAATATTCACGATTAAAATTTCAAAAATAAGAGAATGAGTAAATATTAGGTAATACTGAATAATTGGTTTGTGAGCAATAAATAGCATGTAGGTATTGATTTGACTGTCCCGATGATTTATTATATGGTGACATAATGGAAACTATTGTGCAGATAAATAAAATGTTTAGTTACATGTTGTTTTGTTAACCTCGTTAGTTTGTTTGTTTGTTTTGAATTATCGCGCAAAGCTACACGAGGGCTATCTGCGCTAGCCGTCCCTAATTTAGCAGTGTAAGACTAGAGGGAAGGCAGCTAGTCATCACCACCCACCGCCAACTCTTGGGCTACCCTTTTACCAACGAATAGTGGGATTGATAGCCACATTATAACGCCCCCACGGCTGAAAGGGCGAGCATGTTTGGTGTGACGTGGATTCGAACCCGCGGCCCTCAGATTGCGAGTTCAGCCCCCTAACCTTGTTAGAATACCTTGATTACATAAAATGCTATATAAATTATCATAAAACTTCAATACCAAATTTTGTATTTATCATACAGTTATAGAACTTATTACTTTTTATACATGCATTCTGATATAATTGTATTACTCATAATGCAGAGAACTACCAAAATATACCGTTATATTCGTTAATTCTGATAGTTACAACAAAAGTGATTGTAATTTATCAAATCACTAATTTGTTTGTACAAATTAAATATATTAAAGTAATGAAATTCATACTTTCACTATTTAATCAATAAATTTATTACAGTACTTCGTTATTTTAATATATCACGTTTACATGTCCCAAATAAACTAGAAATAACTGTCTGCATTCATGCTTATTGACTTCACTTATTTGCAAGACATACAGTATTAAATTGCTCAAAAGATAGTGTTAAGCGCGTAATTAACCAACAATTTATTCGCCTGTATCGGTTGTTTGAACTTAGTCCACTGATGGTAGTCTTGGGAAAATTATCTTCACTACAGCTCTAGTCCTTTGATCTTGACTTCAAGAACAAAAACCTTGTGGTAATAGGTGTCGCTGACTGATTATCTTTCTTTTGGTCAATAGTTTGAAACTAGGGGCAACTCTATTTAAATCTTAGGAGTCTCTCACCTAGCCGTTTAACTCTTGCGCGCATAAGGTGCCAATCACGTTGAAAATACCACCTCACATTCAACGAATACCATTTAGATAGTGACTCTTTATTAATAATACTTAATCAGTAACTTACCATGGACTATACGAAACATCGAGTCAACTCTATAATAGTAAAGTCAGTCCTAAAGGAGGTTATTCAGCTCTTACACACGGTTCCAATGGTATTTTCATTATTGACGGAAAGGTTCTCTTTGACTGCCCGAGTTCAAAACAAAGAATTACCGTTTAATTTATAATACTTCCTTGACTTTTTATTTGTAATATTGACATGTAATGCAAGAAAAAGAAACATGAAGTTTAAGGGTGATGTCATTCCTCTGGTATCTAAATCTAAGGATCATATTTTAATCAGTTAAATAATTAATTACTTTCAGATTTAATCAACAATAGTATTTAATAATTCTCATTTAATTAATAATTTACCATAAATAATATTGGAATCCTCGCAGCCTGACAAAGCCCGCTGGTGATGGAACAAGACCTCGCATAGCTCATCATCACAGACTTTTCACTCAGTCATGTAAGAATTCCTGACCAATCAGAAATAGCTTATTTTGTCAGTTTTGATATTCATGAATCATAAAAGACCAATCCACTGCTTTCAAACGAGTGTAAACTCATAAGACGCATTCATAGTTGTCAGATGAGTTTAAACCAACATCACAGATAATCAATCCATGGCTGTTAGACAAGTTTAATCTCATACCACAAAATATCCATTCATTGTCGTCA